GTGGAAGATTTGGGGGTTGAGGAACTTTTTTTATTTAAAAAAATATATACAAAACGCAAAGCCATAGAGCAGTAGACAGCATTCTCGAATACAAGTCCTCAGATTTCATACATTATGTGTAACACACCTTCAGATTAATTTTATAATACTTTTTTCTTCAATAAAAGACAGGTCTATTATGTGCTAGAAAGCAGGACACAAATGTCTTGTACTTGGTCCTACTGCTCTTTTATGACATGGCTTGAATGTTGGACGTTTGTACAAAATACTGAGTATCAGACTAATAACATAATAAGACTCTTCAAATCCACTGAACAGTATCTGTCCTACATAAGGCACATACTTTTATCTTCCAGCTACATCATGTTTTATGCTATATTACCAGTTTTTCCAGTTAATATAGAAAGAGCTACAGTATCACAATATAACAAAATGTGTTTTCGTTGAAACAGATTGCATAAATACCTAATTAATTAGGAAAAACAATAATGAGGTTAATTTAGCTCACACCTAAAGTGTAGGCTGGTGTTCTAATTAGCTTTTTTCCCCACTTGTTTTTGTTCAATATTTTGGCACCCATTCTAACAAGTAAATATTCTGATCTTATAGCTGTGGATTGTTTACATATGAATTCAATTAAAATATTTGGAGCCAGGAAGCATGGATAAGTATATGGGTATATGCTAAACAGCATATTATTAAATCTGACTATAGTTTAAATTACAAATAAATTGCATTATAATATCCTTTGACTCCATATTATAATGGATCAATCCCGGATCCGGGTGGCAGCACAAAACTGGCAAATCAATGCCACAGCTGGGTAGATTTTGTCCTTATAAGGCATCCTCTGATCTCCAGACAAAAGTCTCCCCTTTGCTCTTCAGATCATATCAGAATGATGTATTATTAGATGGTAGTTCTGCTGCACTGCTCAGAAAGACCTCGTTCTCAGGAGGTAGGAAGGGATGTAGGGCAAGAAAAATAAACTCCAAATTTAACCAAAAACATGATTTTGGAAGGAAGGATTTTAAATTCTTCAGGATTCTAGATTTTATAGTGATCGATCAGTTGGAAGCAGTAAAAGAAATTGATTCAATTAGTAAGATGGAGGAAAGGAATTCTTCAGGAATGCTTGGGTTTCCAGATTTTGTTTGTTGGCCCTCATAATCTGCAAAAGCCACAAATTAAAACAGCTGTTTCTTCTTCATTGACTGTGTCCAAAAACTTCACGACAGACGTGACAGTAACCTGACAGCTAATATGACAGGAAATCAATGCATGAAGATTTTTTCATTTCGTGTGAACACAAGTGCAATTATTTTGTACAGATTGCCACAGTAATATGTTGGGAGACGTGACTTATTACAGGTGAACAGAACTGTAATTTAGGATCCTATAGCATTGTGTAATTTTCTAAAAGCAAAACTGCAGCATTCTCTTACCTGCCTTTTTCATGTTTCTTTCTGTTATTTTCAATGAATGATGAATATCGTGGTTCTAACCCCCCAAACCTCCCTCAGATATCAAGGGGACTGAATTTCTAACAATATAAACCCCGTAACGTTTCTTAGTTCAAATTAATGTGAACTAATTTGTTAGTATGACCTAGCAAAGAGAGCAATTTCAGAATTTCACCGTGAACGTGATAAGGCAATACAAATGGAAACAGTATTCATTTACAAAATTTGAAATTGCCCGGCAGATTTTCTCATTTTCTCATCGCTCATATAATTTTTAAAAATCAAATTAAAACTGTCTTCTTTCCACAATATTGATTTAAACAATGTGTTTTTAATGTGTTTGATATATCTGGTACACTCTATAACATTATTTATTGGATAGTGCAAGTTGACAGGCAGAGCACTATCTGGCTGACAACTGTTAAATCATTTTAATGAATGTGAAGAAAACCTTCAAGATATTTAATTCTTGATCAACAGAGTGCCAATTTCACCTTCCATGAAGGTTTGTCATTGAAAAGGCCAACTACAGTACCTACTTTAAGATACAGAATCGAATGTTAATTAATTTCTCAGTTTAGTCTGTATCACAGTGAAGTGTTCTTAAAAGACAGGGCTTTTGACAACTGTGTGTTATCTGAATGTTCTTTTCTGGACAAGAGAAAAAATCCCTCTACTTTTGGAATAGGTTTTAACCAATTTAAGAACGTAATTTATGCAGAAAGTCCTTTAAAATGCTTTTTAAGTGTCCAAAACTCCCTGTTGCTAAATTATAAATCAGTTTTAATTCAAGATTCAGATCTATACAGATTTTTTTTCTTTTCCTTCCTTGTGAAACATTCTCATGACACTTTGAATCAAAAAGTTTTGTGTGTATGAAGTGTAGTAGACTGTTATATTTTTAAATGTTTTTCAGTGTGTGTTTACAATTATTTTCTTCACTGTAAATTATTCCTGTGAAAAAAATTAAACTTCATTAAAATAAAGCGATCTTAGAGCTGGTAAAAGACTGTGGAAGTGTCTGTGGACTGTGAAAGTCATAATAAAATATGTACTGTACTGGCTGGCTTAATCTTTTTTATTGTTGAGTCATACACTCCTACATAAACAATTAATAATAACCAATTCATATTTTGGAGAAATAGATTTTTATTTTGCTAGTTTAGATGGAAAACGTTTGTTGAACCCACTCTCGAATGAGTTAGAACAGTAGAATAGTCCTCTCTATTTTTCATTAATTAAACTGTCCAGTAGAGGGCAGCAGTGTAGACTAAATATTTTTCAAATGTAGGATTTGATTAGGCTAAGGGCTTTGAGTTTGTAAACCGGAGATGTTCCATCGTCACTTCTCCGTAAAATCCAAGGGTTAATCAATGATATTTGACTAAAAACACAAATCACGTAGAAACGCAGAAAAAATATTTAAAAAAATGATTCACAAAAAGATACTCGAAAGCTGCCACAATAGGAAAATAATAATATACCATGAAGTGAAGAAATTTCTAGCATTTAAAGTAAAAGTTCCATTCAATCATCACAACATCCGACAACTACCATCAGTTCAGGCCTGTATACCTCTTTGCTGAAAAATAAGACCTTAAACGGCAATACCACTTGTGTTCCTCATTGAGTATTGTGCTCCTCATTTAGTAGAGTTCAATAGACACTTTTTAAAAAGTTTTTTCTAATGAAATAAGATTAATATTATTTTTTAACTGTACATTTAAGCCCACAGTTTAGAATGAATCATTCTTGGTCCGACATTTGCCTCTCACTGATGTATCCTCTGAGGAACTCATTGCTGGAACCCCTGAGGGTTTTCCATCGGCAAGGCTCACAGTGTCACCCCGAGCACGGGCACAGACTACACTGAGGATGCCCGACCTCAGGCCTCAGGTGTGCCAGGCCAGTGAAGGGGCTGTGTGTTTACTGAGAGCCAAGAATTTACCCTGGCGGACTCCCTCTCCCAGGCCTCTCCCTTTCTCAGTCAACTGTAAACCCCTCCTGGGAGTCTGCAAGTATCTGACACTGCCTGGACCCAAACTGGCACCACCTGAGACAACACTATCCATCCTGCGCTCGGTGCTGAGGCTCTTAAGGGATGAAGCCGTTTACGAAACCCCCAGTAAGTGTATTTCTGGAAATAAAATGTATGACGAATGAAGAATGTCTGGATCATGGGTAGGAGTGCAAAAAATCGCTGAATGTGAAAACTAAAGAAAAAAATGGACTAATCTTCAGTCTCTCTTCTTTTTCCACGAGCATGTTTGGAGGTGACCATCCGGCCTTGAGCTGCTCTGAGACAGGATGGGATTTAAAGTTGCCGTTAGACTTCGAGAAAGTAAACTTATTGAGTGTTATAGTGTTTCTAAGTTAAATATTACTGAGTACTGCAATGCTTCAGTAGTCTTAATTTATAAAATATAATGAATGAATAGTAAACTTGTGTTATTATTAATCTGGTAATTGCTATTTTTCTTGACAGTTATCATTATTTTTATTGTTTTTGTTTAGGTGTTTAATGATGAATCATTGGGCAAAACTGGTAGAATTTAAGAGCTCCGTTTTTTTGATTCAGGTAATTCAGTATCACTGATGGTACAAGTTTTTTACCTGCTGTGCATGGTAGTTAGGTCACTGTATGATTTTAGCAAAGATGCAATGATCATTTTTAATATTAAGTTCTTTCAGTTTAAAAACAGCTTTCAAATCTTCTCTCGTCAACACATTA